GACATGTCATTATCCCACTGAGCATTTCATCGGAACATGAGAACACGTCACTTAGGCCGATGTCAGACTTTGCGAATCGCGCGATTCGCTAGCGTCTGCGGTCGCGTCGCGGCCAGTGAATCACTCAATTGGCTGGTACCGCAACGCGACCGCGGACGCTAGCGAATCGCTCGATTCGCAAAGTCTGACATCGGCCTTACGATAAGGAAGAAAGATACGAAAAAAAGAAACAAAAGGAAATCTCGACGACAATAAAAAAACTCACTTTATCAAAACAGATGTTATAGTCAATATGAACGACATCGCCTCGATCGAGGTTCACGAGCACATTGTCCAGATGACGATCTCCAAGGCCCAGAATAGCTCCAATTAATGACATTACCGCTGTTGAGCGCGCATATCGACACACTACACGCCACCAAGTGTCGCAACTTCCAGCACGCATCCACAATTCGCTGCAAGCAAAGGTTCGTAGGATACTTTGTACAAAAGAAGAATTAAAGAAAACTTAAGCCACTCCTTACCGACTGATGAGATCTTTGGGTGTTTCTTTCACCAGAGAATTGAAGACCTCTCTGAGTAGATTGTGTGGCCATTTAGAACGATCCGCGATTATTGCTGCTTCCACATTCTTCAACAAAGAGTGAAATTTTGATTCAGATCTTCAACAACATTACGGTAAAACTTTCAACTCACATTATCCGCAAATACACCACGCATCTTCTTCTGGAACAGATCAGTCGGTCTATCAATGTCTAGCGCAGCTGTTGTTGCAGGAACACCATTCTTTCGCTCCATGGAGTGTTTAATTTGCGCCTGCAAATCCAAATAAAAAACTGCGTCAAAAGGTTGAAACCCTTAAATTCAACCTGTCTCAGCTGCCACTTTCTGTAAATGTGGAACATTGGTGTCGCACCTCCAACCCACTGAATCAGGCCTGATCGAGTTCCCAGAGGAGTCACAGCATAATGACGAGCACAGTATGGAGGCCAGCTTCTGGAACGAACAGGAATTATTTGAAAAAAAAAGCAAGCAACTAGGAAGGATATTTTTGGAGGACGCCGGGAGGAGCAGCAGAAGGAATAATAATATCGTAACGTACCGACTAGAAGAACTACCAGCGAGCATAAGATTACAAATATGCAACAACTGCATAATTCGCTCATCTAAATGAAGATCTTCCTGGCCTTTGAACAGGAACATATGCCTGAAAAATAATTTCATAACAGAGTACTCAAGAACTCCACAAAAGCCTGAACGACTTACTCTTTCCCCTCGCTGCCGATGAACGCGATCTTTTTTGGCCTCGTCTTCGTCGGCAAGACTAACGCGTTCTTGAGAACACGGTCAATCGTCACCACTTCGCTGAATTCGATATTCTCCTGGCCAGGGATTGGGATGTTGCTCTTCGACAACTGGAAAATTCACCCAATTGAATAACGCTACCAATACCGAAAAATGGGAGTTACCTCGCTGAGAATGGGAGAAATTTCTGGCATTTGCAAAGAATGACCACCACGGCGAGAGTTCTTTTGCAGCAGTATTCCCAACATCTGAAAAGAACCTCAGTCCAACTGAATTCACCAACACTACGCAGCAATTCAACTCACGTGTTTGAAAGGCGCCCATGACTTCTCTGGACTTTTTCTATTGGCCCGCGATTGCTCAAATACCGCCTGCAGTTTCTCGCCGTACAATTGCACGAAGGCGCGTTCGTTCTGTGTGGTTGGCTCTCGAAGACAAGTTCGTTCGTAAAGATCATCGAGGATTCGGTAAACCTGAGAACAAAATCCTGTGTGAGTAAAATGTGGGAAACATTTTGAATTGGGGAGGCCATACTTACAGATGAGGTTATCAAACGCGACTTCTCGGCAATGATGTCCAGACGAGTCTTGTCATCCAGATGGGCTGCATTTACGGTTTTCTCACTTTCTGCTCGAATCTGCTCCAAACGCTTCTCCATTTCGTGGTCCAAATTGGCAAGTACGAAGGTCCACCTCAAAGCCGTTATTTGATACAATAAAATCAGCATCTTATTCGATATTAGCTTGCTGCGCCATCTGAGATTCCATTCATTTATTCCCAACCATTGCTTTATCATTCATGGTCATTTCCGCAATGAAACCTTCCACATGATTTGAAATATTTATCATATAGATTACAGTATAGCTACCATAAATGTAAAGTAGCTGCAAAGGTAAACTTTCACTGAAAAAGACCAGCTTGCAGGAAGATTCTACCATAAAAGGCAACCCATTGAAAATTATGTTGGAGATGGACAGTGATGCATGAAAGATGAAAAAATTGAGAAAAATGGCCTAGAACCTAAGAAATGGGATTCCCTTCGCGCCCGTTCATTTCCGTATTAAAGTGGCTCGGGTGTGTGACGACTCAATCGTGGCAGTGGCTAGGTCGCCGCGCCAGCCGCCGCAGCCCGCGATGTCGCGGCGAATTTGCAAAGAACTCAGCATCCAAACATTGGGGAATGTAAGATTAGATGAAGTTTCAGTCATGAAACATGGAATAGGAATCACCTTCCCCTTGAAATGCAGTTTCTTTTCCCTTGCCATTATTACAAACTTATCCTATCATGCTTATGTTAGAGCCTTCCTCACCGTTACTCTGTGTCTTGGAACGTGATATTCTTTCTGATTGAACCAGATTATCACTCTCTGATAGAAATTCAGGCAGCTGATTAATAAAGAAGTCAAATTAAATTCAAAAGGACAACCTTTACATGGTACAACCTTTGTACTGTGAGGCTTAAATCACTGCGGAGATCTTAAGTGACGCTTGCTGGCTTACTGATGTTAGCACTCTGGTCTTATCAGCTTATAAACATGGATGGATAAGAAAAGGTCCACACAGAAATCGCCGCACCAACTGCCGCGCGCGACGATTCTCGCCGCGTGAGCGGCGTGACCTCATTAGCCGACGATTGAATTGACCGTCTCCCAAGCAGGGTCAACCGCCCGTTGCGCAAAGAACAACGAGGGGGTCGTATTCAGCCGACCGAAAAGGGAGGGGGTCGTATCCAGAGAGACGGGCTGCAAGACGGCTTGAAAGTGCAGTGTCCGGGAGTGCACTTTCACGCTCTAATGTTCTCCAGGAGCTCTGCACCGTGCAGCTGTCGGAGAGTCACACAGACAAGAGCTCCATGGGAGCATTAGAGCATGCAGAGCATTATAAGTCTCACTATCAGCCATTATTATCCTTAATACACGGACGGCGCTTTCGCTCGACAGCATAGATCAAGATTACAATAGCCAAAAACTTTGTTACAGCGTAGTGCAAAAACATGGTCTGTCTTCGATGATCGAACATTCCTGAAATCCCAAGGAGAACAAAGTGTAGAGCAGTTCATGGGGAAGTGAAACAAGAGTACCATATAACAGTACAATGCAACTCAATCACGATACTAACACCTTCTTCAGGAAAATGGAGGACTTTCAAATGCGAGTGCGACTTCTGCCCACAGACAGGTGCACGGCGTATACCCGAGCAGGCGTTTTCCCATAAAAACGCCTTCTCTGTCAGCGGCCGTAAGCAGACAAACTTTCTGAAGAGAATTTCGATGCTTTCAAATCAAATCTAAGCGGAACAAAGTGTAGCGAATTTGCTGAATTGAATTCTAGAGACCCCTCAAATAAAATTGAGGCAGAAGAAAGAATTCCCTTTTCCTGTATAGAATTTCCTTCCTCAGACGAACCTTATTATTTCGTCAATCCCCGGAGCTCATCAGTGAGTTGGGATTGGCGAAATAAAGACACAGGGGAAAGACGAATAAACCTTGAGTGACGTACAAATTTATCATGCAGAGGAGCATGCAATGAAATTAATTGTATATTGACTAAAGTGAATATAAATTGATAAGTATATGTAAAACTTTTATGAAATTAAAAAGGTGGAAATGTTTGTAGCTGTCCACTGAATTAGGCAATAACTCATTGATTGAGTATTCCTTTACTAGTTTATTAACATTTTTATAATTATTAGCCATTGAGAATTTATAACATATAAACTTATTTTTATAAATGCACTTAACTATATTAGATATAATAAAGTCCTCATGATAACCATTTCCTAGTAACACTCTTATGAATTCTGTTAGTTTATCGGTAAATGTTTAGTTAGTTTATCACACACGCCACACACACACACCACACACACACACACACACACCACACACACACCACACACACACACACACCACACACACACACACACACACACACACACACACACACACACACACACACACACACACACACACACACACACACACACACACACACACACACGCACACACACAACACATCCAAGATGGACCACACAGAGTAATCCATCGGGTTTAGATCAGGAGAACTGGAGGGCCATTCGTCGTGTCTGATGAAGTCGGGCAGGTGCTCGGCGCACCACTCCTGGACCATCTTTGCTTTGTGTGCTGGAGCAGAATCCTGCTGGAAGCACCAGTAGGCTTCTCCGAAATGGGAGTTGGCCCACGGCTTGAGAACTTCCTCCAGGATATTTTTGTAAACCTCTGCGTTGATTTTTACACCAGCTTCAACGAAAACAAGTGGGGTCTTCCCCGTAGAGGTGACTCCTCCCCAAACAAGAATGGACTGGGGGTGTTTCGCTCTTTCCTGGAGTCTTGCCTTGGTGGTAGCATCAGCAAGTGATCCTGCAATAATCCTCTCATTTTGGGAGTTGAAGGCTGGATTCAGAGTAAAAATCTTTTCATCACTGAAAACGATGTCTCGGGCGCGTGCCACCGTGAATCGCTGCAGGTTATCGGTAAAGCTGATTTCGTATATCACACACACACACACCACACACACACACACACACACACACACACACACACCACACACACACACACACACACACACACACACACACACACACACACACACACACACACACACACACACACACACACACACACACATCCAAGATGGACCACACAGAGTAATCCATCGGGTTTAGATCAGGAGAACTGGAGGGCCATTCGTCGTGTCTGATGAAGTCGGGCAGGTGCTCGGCGCACCACTCCTGGACCATCTTTGCTTTGTGTGCTGGAGCAGAATCCTGCTGGAAGCACCAGTAGGCTTCTCCGAAATGGGAGTTGGCCCACGGCTTGAGAACTTCCTCCAGGATATTTTTGTAAACCTCTGCGTTGATTTTTACACCAGCTTCAACGAAAACAAGTGGGGTCTTCCCGTAGAGGTGACTCCTCCCCAAACAAGAATGGACTGGGGGTGTTTCGCTCTTTCCTGGAGTCTTGCCTTGGTGGTAGCATCAGCAAGTGATCCTGCAATAATCCTCTCATTTTGGGAGTTGAAGGCTGGATTCAGAGTAAAAATCTTTTCATCACTGAAAACGATGTCTCGGGCGCGTGCACCGTGAATCGCTGCAGCAACTTCTTGCATCTCTCCAATCTCCTTTTCTTCATAATGTCCGTCAGGAGTTGGCATTTCTGCAAGCGATAGGGGAACTTCCTTAGCTTACTTCTGACAATCCTCCTCATTGACCTCGCGCTTACTCCAACGTCTTTCGCCATCTGGCGCATCGATCTCCTGGCGTTCCTTCGAATTCTTTCTCTGACGAGCCTCACATTTCTCCGACTCGTAGCTGTTGTGGGACGTCCTCTTCCTTCCCTGTCCTCTTCGGTCTTCAGTTCTTTATAGCGTCGTACTGTATTCTGAACCGTCCTTCGAGGTACGGAAAGGATCTTCACAATTTCTCTTGTTTGCTTGCCGTCGTTGTGAAGTTTGATGATCGCGCTCCGTAGGTCAGAACGACGGACCATTTTGTATTCGAGTACGTAGGAATTACGCAACCTCCAGGCAACATATCACAAGCGAGTGAAACAGGAAAATCTCCAAGAAGTGTTAAAAAATTCAAAACGTATAGGTGCACCAGTAATTTTGCCCCACCCTGTACACTGAAGCACTTAGAATAGCTAACACTTGTTCCGTGTTTGACACATTTACTGATAAACTAACAGAATTCATAAGAGTGTTACTAGGAAATGGTTATCATGAGACTTTATTATATCTAATATAGTTAAGTGCATTTATAAAAATAAGTTTATATGTTATAAATTCTCAATGGCTAATAATTATAAAAATGTTAATAAACTAGTTAAAGGAATACTCAATCAATAGCTTATTGCCTTAATTCAGTGGACAGCTACAAACATTTCCACCTTTTTAATTTCATAAAAGTTTTACATATACTTATCAATTTATATTCACTTTAGTCAATATACAATTAATTTCATTGCATGCTCCTCTGCATGACAAATTTGTACGTCAGCTACACTACTTACACTAATCCGAAGTGTACAGTGTACGTCGGCGCTCCTGTGGGCAGGCCTCCGCCCACGTCATGTATGCTGGGAACACCTTAGACATTGCTCCCCTACACCAATTTGTTTTCTGCTCTGTAGGCTTTCTCCCAACCGAGTTATGAAATTTTTCATAAAGCACTGCTTTTTTGGAGAACGCCCCGCCCACCGGGGGTGGGTCTCCCTAATTCGATGTGACTTACCAATGCACACCTTTACCCACTTTTTGGCCCAGTTTCGAGGTCGTTTTCTAAGAGAATTGAAAATCTCGGTCGTCAGTACACTTCATGTCGACGCACGCCACGCCCACTGTGGCTGATGTGTGTTTTGTACTTCGTGAGACCTTGCCCACCCATCCCACACTTGACCCGGTCCCTCCAGGCGGATCCCGAGGAGCTAGGGAATTTCGTGACAGACATACAGAACGACAGACAGAACGACAGACGAAGCGCTTTATAGTAAGTAGGATAATATGTTGAAAATGTTTTGAATGGGTGAAGAAGAAAATTTTAGGGTGGCACCCACCATTGGGTGCCATTGTCCCACGCGACGGTCATAGTGGCACCCACCGGTGGGTGCCATTGTCGTCAAAGGGTTAATACCATTAGTCGAATCCACTGAAAGCAGTACGTTACTCAATACAATAGCCAGGTTACGCTCAGTTTCAATGAAGCCTATGTTGACATGCACGCGAGGGCGGGCGGAGCAAAACCGGTTTTTATTATACTTTGCTTGCAAATGACCGTACTGACCAAATGACCATTCCTTGAATACCTGACGCGTCTAGCGACGCTGAGCTCTAATCCTTTTTCAATATCTGCGGAACGACTCTTCGAAAGGAATAGGAAGGATTCTTCTCATTATGACTTTGTCGCTGTGGCGCTCTTTACATCCCCCTATAACCTCTCGGTTCGTTCAAAAGAGGAATTCACGATAAGAACGAAGGTCGAAGAAGGGGAAATTGCATAGTTGGGAGACAGGCGGACCTCCTGAGGGTGCTGACCGACGCGCAATTGGCAGCGAAAGATTTGACCTCGGCGATCTAGCATGGCTCACTCTTGGCGCGGTTGGCGGGGTACGCCCACCGACTATCTAATCACTCGCCGCAGGTCTATACGTGGCGAGTGATTAGATAGCAGAGAGAGCGTAGTGTTGAAGAGGGCACAGCGATGAGAGTCGCATCAATGCGCAAATCAACGGGCAAGGAAGGGGTCCCATTTCTCGGGTTTGGGCCGTTTCACATGGTTTCTTCTTCATCCCTGCTCCACTGACCACCTCTACCCTTATTTCCAATGAGCTACCTTTTCATTGTGAAATTCGCCTTCAAGAAAATTACACCGAGATGCGGTTAGTTTCCCATTCATCGTATTCACACGCACCTTCTTCATACAGTTGACCATAGAATAAAAAATTTCAATGTAAAAGCTTATTTAGCAGCAGTGACTTCACAAGTAAGCGTGGGAAGTGGACTCTCTAGAAAAGTGAGACTGAGCCGCTGTTAGCTTTGAGAATTAAACTATTCGTACTACCTGCAATATCTGCAGAACTAGTCGTGAGGCAAGCTTTCCAGACGGAAGCTAGGCATTGCATTATATGACGAATATGATTAATTACTATTTTTGTTGCTCTATAACAATTCATACAACATGATTCTCAGCAAGACGGTGATCTTCCGTGACTGTAGGCGTTTTCATTACAATTTCTACTACAGTGGTACTACGGCCTGCACGTTTTGCATAGAAGCTGTTTTCCATCTGAGCGTCACCTGGTGCATGTTCAAACATTGTTAGGCTATGACTTTTTTGCTAGAACCGATCTCCGTTGTTGACACTCGAACATTACCCTTTTTATTCGCTTACTATCCTGAGTGCGCGTCTGCAAATGCAACAAGTGCAAATGACTCCGAGATTTCGTTCACCCAAATGAAGCATAAATCAAAAAAAGTAAGAAGGAACAAAAGCTCAAGCGTTATCCTTTTTAGATTACTGGATCAATATCTACATGGTGTCAGACACTGCAAAAACGTGTGTGCATAACACTCAAACAATGATTTATTTTTTTTTAGCTTGGAATTTCTCTGCGTCTATGTACATTTCACAGGAAAGAAGGCAAAAAGTACCCTTCCTTCATATGTAAAACGGAACCGGATACACTTTTGAATCAAAACCAAACGGTCTCGGCTGAAAACTGAAGAGCACATTCCAAACTGCCAGAAAACTCCAGTAGCCTTCCACAACGAAGACAACAGACGAGTTCGCCAAGAAAATGTGATACACGGCTTATGATGGTGGGCCATCAAGACGTATCCAAACGCGGACGGCCGCTTGAGTTTCCTTGAGCACGACTGTGATATCAAATAATGTGTTGTGCTGAGGACGGTGAAGCAGTGAGGGAGTACCTGCTTCTACTCATGGGGGAAGAACGAATTGTGAATCTGAGATGGGGCTGGGGCAACGACAATAGGCGAAGATCACATTCTGTCCTATGTAATATGAGCTCTTTCTCCTGCATGAGGTAATAGAAAAGGGATTACCCAATGGGGATGAATCAAAGACCTAGTCCCGGGACCTCATTGCTCCTTTCCACCTCATGACATTATCACACACATGTAAAGGCAGAAGAATTGCTTGCGGCGGTTTGAACGGTTCAGATGACGCCATTGTGCGTCATTGACGGAAAGGTGATGGGAGTTGGTCTCAACAACGTTCCAAGTGTGTTCACGGCTCTGGAGGGTTAGCAACAATACGGAAAGGAATGCCGAAAATTGCTTATCTCAAATCATGATTTATAAATAGAGCGCTTGGTGCTTACCAGTGGTTATAACTATGAATTTGCTCTACCAATGTCGTTAACAAGAGCCAATCTACCTTGATAGCATAACCTCTTGCATACTGAATACCGCTAAAGTGAACAAGGGTTCGGGCCCAATTGTGTTTCACATCAGGTACCACCTTGTCTTTAACATTATGTAAAATAAGTAATGACAACCAGATAAGCGTTGGGTGCCGTATATCCCCGAAATTCCAGCCATTTTCTAGCTGCAGTAAAAGCATTTGAGTTTCCTTTTTACTTCAAATAGGAAATGTGCAGCGCGTATGTGATGGAAAATGAAGTCATATCCCTTCACACATAACTTTTCAAAATGTACAGAGTTTGTGTATCAAAGTTTTTTTCAGAGAGAATTGTGCGGAGATTCTACTCATTTACAATTCTTTTTTTGTGCAACCGACTATATGATGAATATCATTGATAAGAAATTTAGCAGGTAGATCTTAGTTTTTCAAAACATCTCTTACGCTGGAGCATTCGCTGAGCAACCGTGATCCATTGCTCCTTGCGTGAGTGAATTCAGCAAAACATAGGATTAGAGAGGAACCTCCTTTTAATGATACATGTGTTTCAGCAGAATTGAATTGGCGAATTCAAGGAGAAATTTCAAAGCTACTTTTGTTGAAAGTTGATTCCGGAGGGGGACCCACGCGTAACGCCGCCTTTCCACTTGAGCGATATCGCACAATCAGTAGATGATACCTAAACTATCTCAGTCTCGGGATGAAAAACATATTCCCCTTCTAGTCTTTGGGATCCACATATGTTTGAAACACAATGTCAAACCGGTCACTTATAAAGTCAGTTTAACGATCTCCGCTCATTTATTCGAACCTGCTGCAAATGAGACAATTTTAGTTTAAAGGCACAACCCAGGCAGAGGTCGTGTGAACGCTTCCCTTCGGTCTGTAGTATAGACCCTAGAGGACAATCACAAATGTGGCGTTCCCGTGCACGGAAACCAACCGACAAGAGCGCTTGGGCCTTGCAAAGTAAGCTGCTGAAGCTGCAGATTTTTTTCTCTTATCAGGCTGTTGTCTGGCGCTCTCTCATCTGTAGCGCTCTCTCGCCTCATACTCTCCTCTCCGCGCTTAGTCTCTCATTCCCTTAGCACAGCCGATTAGGAAGGTGAGTGAGCCCTTAACCTAAGCGTTTTCGACGGATTCTTTTCCTTTTTTCTTTACTGCCGGCCCATTTCGCACCAATACATTCACATTCGTGTGCAAGAGCCACACCAATGTGATCCTGGGGCATGCCTTTAATGTTCTTCAAGAGAACAAGTTCCATCTCTGCAAACTTCATTTCTACTTTGTTGTTCTCTGTGGTGATATGTAATAACTTTGAAGTCATCTCGGTCCTTCTGCAATCTGCAGTTTTCCGCATACATGCCTCTTGCTGGTGCAAAATATATAGGTGGATTCTATAGAGTGACATAAAAAAGCACTGCTGTGGGCACCTCCTTCGTGAAGATTACTCGGAAGAAAGTGGTGATACCAACTTAATATTGAGAATCTCGCGAAAAGAAAACTATGCCGACGAAAGCCATTGCAATTAATGGGGTTTTCCTGGCAATTGCTCTCTTTAGAACAGCCGTGTCTCCCAGTAGCTGCTACGGAGACGATGATATGAGAAACACGAAAGCAAGACGGTCTTGTATCGTTGTGCTCCAACTTTGCAGGATTTCATTACACCTGAGCAAATTCCGGTGACACAGACTGCGTGGATTCTGAGCGACAACATTACAAAAAACAGCACTGTGAACAGGACTGTTTGCGAGAAACTCATCGGAGGAAAGCTGTGACAGCAAGGTACATTGCTAGATGTATGATCATGTACAGCTAAAGTGCTCCATGATCAGCTATAAATAGGTGATTGGGCAGACAAAATCATCACATCTGAAATGATTCTTATAACTGCACTGCTGTTCCTCTCTTTTTTGAATGCCAACGCTCAAAGTAAGTGCTACACATGTTGTGCTGCAGCGACATAACACATTGTCGTGATTGTATGAGCCATGTTCGCTGAAGTTACTTTGAGTTACACGACAGCATGCTTTACAGCATCGAAGGTAGAATCGATGACAGAGTACATGAGGAATGCCACTGAAGAACTTCATCAGCGGCTGAATAAAAGCCTGGTTGGTTTTTTTAGTGATTTCGCCTTAGCTGCGTTGTCAGGTTTTTTTTATCAAACAAAGCCACCTGGGAAGAATCTATGAATAGGAATGGAACGAAAAATTGGAGAAAGAAGCGGACGATGAATCAAGGACGCCGCAGAAGAGGAATTCAAGAACAGTTTATCTGAAGCTCGGAGGGGCAAAGTTCGTACAAGGGCCCTTAAGCTATATTCCTATCCTGTACTCCCTGAAACAGTATATGAGTATTTAGAAGAGTCAGAAACGGAAACCTAGAGGACGCATATCTTGGCGCCATTCAGCGCTTCTTCAATCGAAACAAAACCGAGGTTGGTTGAGGTTGTTGTGTAACAACAAAGTTGTCAATCTACTATAACACCCGGCTAAAATCCACAGTAGCACTTTTCATAGGATAATACTAAATACATTCCGGTGCCGGGGATCTTTTTTGGGTGATGAACTTTAGATACTCCCAGATTTTTCGAGTTTTTAGCTCTACAGTTTTTGTAGCCTCAATTGCTGCAGTTCTGGGAAGTTTGAATCGTTCCTCAAGCGAGACTTTGCCCCCTTTGCCAAGACATCTCTTTTTCTATATTTGAAGTTCACACTTGAGCTTGGTGAAAAGCGAGTGATTAGTAGGAATTTCCTTAGCACTTCAATTTCGATTCATCTACTACATGCATAGATTTCTGTTTGGTCTATCTCGTTGTACATCGTATCATTCATTATATTATATCACCAGGCGGCACCGCTCGCTACCGCGCGCTCCATTCTACCGTTGACGTTTTCGGAATGTCCCCTCCCCTTCCGCATGAGTCACCCCCATCACCTTAGCCTAACGCTCGCAAACGCGGTTCTCCCACAGCGCGCACTCCCTCGCCCTTACGCCTCCAACCCCGACTCTCTCCCGTCGCATGCTCTCTCGCACCGTCTGGCGCTTGCACTCTCGCACTGTACTGTTGCCCAGCTGCCGTGACAGACACACACACGCACAGACACACACACACAGACAGCACATACTACGCCACTTATATATAGTAGGATTTATGGCCGAATTCTAACGAAATCCACACATGTATTCAGGTTGACAATATTATACCACGTTCAAAATACGGATGTGGCGGCACCTTAAAAACCAAATCTAAAGACGAGAACGAAATGCAGTCTGTCTACGTCCTGTGTCTCTACGGTTGGTAGCTTCTTGCTTCTCCGATAACTTCATGGAGCAATTGAAGAACAAAACTACATTGATTAAATCGTTGTTTTGCAACACATCATTGCAAAATAAATGTTTGCTTGACGATATATGAGAAAAGTTAAAAAAGTAGTTTCGTGTGACATGGATGGATACACACTAGAACTGTTAGAGGGGAAATGGCAAGTTAGTGAACTCACCGAATGCGCCCATATTTATCTTTAGAAACAAAGAAATGTTATGTTGATTGCACCCAATGGTCGAACTCTTGCTATTACACTGCGTTTCATAATTATAGGTCCACCCTAAATTTTTGCTATTCCAAAGTTGCTGTGCATTTTTGGAAAATGCCGCTATTACCAATAGTTTCCCCATAACGAAAAACCTTGATACTTGATTTCTGGAGAAATCTCGATTCAGAATTATTAAAATATCTTTTAGAACGTATTTTCACCGTTTCGCAAATATGACTACACATCACTTGTCGAGAGATTTTACTATAACGAAAAAACGTCACGAATTTTCAATAATGGGATGACCTCCCAATAATCATAAGGAACACAATAATACGTTTTGAAATGCTGGTAGCCAAATTAGCTATTACAGTAGGATCGAAATTCGTCTGGGCGCCGATGATCGACCTTTTCAGCTTTTCGGCTGTTCCATTTTGCTTTACTTTGCTGTGGAACTTTATAACAATTAAGGCCCAATGATTCTCTATTGGAATCTGATTCAGATAACATGGTGGCCACCAGATAACTGCCACATTTTTTCCTGCAATTCCATCTGGCGTGGAAGGACCGGCATGGACAGCCGCGTTATCGTGCGTGAAAATCAAGGATCGAGGGGATCCTTGTCGAAAAAATGGTAAAACTCGCTTCAAAAGAACTTCACGATACCCTATGGAATCCTTGTGAAAGGAAACAAAAGCGAGCTCTAGCCGCTCAGTCGTTCAAAGGTGCCTCAAACCATAAGGGATTCTCCGCCGAAATTACGTTACATTAAAACCATCTGCGATTTTCACGGAACCCTCCTGTACCCTCTTTTTCTATCAGATCCACCTAGAATAAACTTTTTCACGTCGATCTCAGATCACCTGTAGCAACGAAACAAGGAGGTAGAGTCCAAGATCGCGAAGGGTCTTAACAGCCACACCTTCGTTCATTAAGTTGAGCCCTTTTCCACGGAGAAATGGAGACGTGCGATCTTGTAGCGCTCAAATAATCTTGGAACGCTCTTCATCAATCCGCTGAAGATGTTATTGCTCTGCTGGCTTACTCACCACACGGTGGTTTTGCTCACGGAAGGCCGCATTTCAGCACGGACTTTGTTCGGACTCCTTGTATAATTCGAGAGAAGACGCCCAATTCCTCCTAAATTTTGAAGGAAACGCAGTCTTTATTTACCTAAGCGACTCTTCTCTCCGCACTGACCAGGATTTTGCACATAGTCGCTTATGCAGTATGAGCCGGCCGACATGGGAGGAAATTCTGCTCCTCAGCTATCCCACTTCAGTAAGTGCTCTAGCTTGAGCTTGTTACTGGGAAGAGAGGCGAATAACACGAGGTATGGTAAACTCGATGTCGACTGAGCTCACATATATCCCCGCTTCCCTGATTCCCTTCACGGATCGTGAGAAATGGAAACTTTTTATGAGTGGCCCGATATTCATGAAACGGTGAAAATTCGTTCTGAAAAAGTTAATTGGGTTACTTGAGGGGGAACTTTGTCAGAAAAACACTATGAAGGTTTTCCGTGATGAGGAATCTAATGGTGATAGCAGCATTTCCAAAAAATGCACAGCAACTTTGGGGTAGCAAAAATTTAGGGTGGACCTATAATTATGAAACGCAGTGTAAGGCATCCGAGCGCTAATGTCGGATGTGGTTGCTAGCCTCTGCGCAGCGAGATTACTGCATGAAGGAAAAATATCATTGGCGCTCCAAAACTCTCTTAATAACGCCCCGAAATGTGACGATAAGCGCGCAATATTCATCAAACATAGATCACAAAGAGGCTCAATAATTTCAAGCAAGTTATGTAGTCACCATTAGAATCAATCCTGTTACAATTGCCGCTAACCAAGGCAAATGGTATAGCTTCTTACCGCCAGTTTTCATACTCAAATCTTCTTCAGTTCCCTCAATGATATTTCTCGACCGATTTCCCACCGTTATTCGCATCCAATGTTTTATTCGTTTAAGGCAGTACTACAAGCCCCACTTCACAATGCAAGTGAGCATCACCTGCTCAGCAAGCTCAAGCAGGCCATCCACGCTTGGATACGTCTTGATGGTTCACCATATTCAAGCCGTGCACCACGTTCCCTTGGCGAACTCGTCTGTTGTCTTCGTTGTGGAAGGCTACTGGAGTTTTCTGGCAGTTTGGAATGTGCTCTTCAGTTTTCAGCCGAGACCGTTTGGTTTTGATTCAGCAAAATGTATTCAGTTCCAATTTACATATGAAGGAAGGTGACTTTTTTGCCTTCTTTCCTGTGAAGTGTAGACGCAGATAAATTTCAAGCCAGAAAAATAAATCGTTGTCTGAGTCTTATGCACACACGTTGTTCGCAGCTCCTCACATTTTCCATATAGTAGATATTGATCTAGTAAGCTAGAAGGGATAACGCTTGAGTTTTTGTTCCTTTTTCCTTTTTTGATTTTTGCTTCATTTGCGTGAACGAATTCTCGGAGGCATTTGCATTTTTCGCATTTGCAGACGCGGAGTCAGGATAATAATCGAACAAAAGGGGTCATATTCGAATATAAACAACAGAGATCCGTTCTGCAAAAGATGTCTTGGCCTGACAATGTTTGAACATCCAGCATGTGGTGCTTACTTTGACAAACAGCTTCTATGCAAGGCGGATGCCGGAGCAGTAGTGTAGTGGGAACCGTAATGAAAACCCCTATGTGCTAGTGGAGCGGAAGATCACCGCCGACCTCCAATGAAAAATGCAACATACGATACAACCTCACAGATTGGGGATATCTGCGTTCTTTCCGTATCAGAATTTCTACGAGACTGTGGGACGGCATGGCTTTCTTTCGTCAGAGAGCAAGAGGCCACTGCGTTAAGATTTTTGCTGACAATCATGTTGTATGGACTGCTATTGTGCAGCAAAAATAGTAATTAATCATGGTAACAGTATAATGCATTGCTCAGCTTTCGTCTGGAAAGTTTGTCCAACGATCAATTCAGCAGATATTGCAGTACAGTACGAATAGTCTAGTTTTCAGAGCTAACAGCAGCTCACTCTCTGTTGAACTCTAGAGAACCCACTTCCCACGCTTACTTGTGAAATCACTGCCGCTAGTTAAGTCTTTACCTCTGAAATTATTTATTCTATGCTAATGCAAGTTCTGTTGCTCTGCCCTCATTATAAAGAAACTGTGAAGATGGTGCGTCTGAATACGACGAATGGGAAACCAACCACATCTTGGGTGCAATTCTCTTAAAGGCGAATTTTACAATGAAAAGGTAGCCGTTGGAGATAAGGGTGGAGGTGGTCAGTGAAGCAGGGATGAAGAAGAAATCATATGAGTCGTCCCAGAACCCGAGAAATGGATCACTCCCTTCCAGGGTCAACCCTGCGTTGCGCAAAGAACAACGAGGGGGTCGTATTCAGCCGACCGAAAAGGGAGGGGGTCGTATCCACAGACGGGCTGCAAGACGGCTTGAAAAGTGCAGTGTCCGGGAGTGCACTTTCAGCTCTAATGTTCTCCAGGAGCTCTGCACGTGCTGTCGGAGAGTCACACAGACAAGAGCTCCATGGGAGCATTAGAGCATGCAGAGCATTATAAGTCTCACTATCAGCCATTATTATCCTTAGCACACGAACGGGTCAAGATTACAATAGCCAAAAACTTTGTTACAGTGCAAAAACATGGTCTGTCTTCGATGATCGAACATTCCTGAAATCCCAAGGAGAACAAAGTGTAGAGCAGTTCATGGGGAGTGAAACAAGAGTACCATATAACAGTACAATGCAACTCAATCACGATACTAACACCTTCTTCAGGAAAATGGAGGACTTTCAAATGCGAGTGCGACTTCTGCCACAGACAGGTGCACGGCGTATACCCGAGCAGGCGTTTTCCCACAAAAACGCCTTCTCTGTCAGCGGCCGTAAGCAGACAAACTTCCTGAAGAGAATTTCGATGCTTTCAAATCAAATCTAAGCGGAACAAAGTGTAGCGAACTTGCTGAATTGAATTCTAGAGACCCCTTAGGAAAATTGAGGCAGAAGAAAGAATTTCAGGAAAATTTCACACTTTATGAAGTACTCTTCGAGTAGATTCTAACAGTCTTTACCGCTTCTCATCACATTAATTTGAAGGAAGTTATGGGCCTTTGAAGACTGCATAGTCGCGGTCCAGGAAAATGGCTTGAAAAAAATCAAGGTGGAAAAACGGAACAACGGGACTATTTTTTGAGCGAGTGATTTTGGAAAAAGTTTTAGCACTTATTCGAAAGCTCTAATCTTCTAGTTTCTAATTAGCCTTAGACATCTGCAAAAAGTTGATATGAAGAAAGTTATGAATGTTTGAATGTCGAAAACTCGCGTGTGCACAAAAAACGGAACAACGGGACGATTTTTTGAAATATTGAACATCCAACATTTCAAATACTTTTTAGGAAGAAAACTATTTGAATTTTTAAAATTTTGGTGTCCGGTTCCATGAGACCGCTTCTGAAAAAAATATAACCTTCTGAATGGAGGGGTTTGGATTGCAACGTAATTGCTACAAGGTTTAGTTTTTCAGATTATAAAATAAGGAAAATTGAGAGATCGAAAAAAACTTGGTAGGTTTCTGAAAGTAGAAATCTTTACGATTAAAATGATGTATTGGTTTACGCAAAAATTTGGAAATTCCTTCTATTTAATGAATAAAACTTCATTTGCCTCGATTCCCTCCTCTGAGCGAGACAAAGCGCGCGGATTGACCACGGTCCACCACTTCTCCATGTTGGTGACTGCCCATACATCAATGATGAGCATTAAATTATGTGAAAGACATAATAGTTAATATGGGGGTCGTACCGATACCCTCCGAAAAGGAAGGGGGTCGTAAAAATTTTGGAATTTGCGCAACGCAGGGTTGACCCTGCTCCCAAGTGACTCTCATGGATGCTGCCCTCTTCAACGCTAACACTCTCTCTCTCTGCAGAACGGCTAGAGGCTCAGACACGAGACGACGCGAGAGGGGGCGTACGGGCCAATAGCGCGCCAATTGGGCCGCGGGAAAGGCCATGCTAGATCGCCGGGGCATATCCTTCGATGCGAATTGCGTGTCGGTCCGCACCCTTAGGTCCGCCTGTCTCTCCACTGGGTAACTTTTCCCTTCTTCGACCTCAGTCGTTATAGTAAAATCCTCCTTTAATTCTCGCCTAGATAATGTAATAGCGAGGAGAAATTCGATTAAACTCGACCTGAGGATATAGTAAAGAGAAATCTGATTCAACGGAAGCCTCACCTCTCCTCGTTGAGAAGATTGATTCTTTGAAGCTCATTAACAAACTCTCTCACATCCTTGACCAAATCAGGATAATGACCTTCAAGTACAGACACAAGCACTCGACATCCTTCGAACATCAAGCAACGTTCCTGAACATTCTCCTCATTAGGGTAATTACATTTCAGCGTAGACATTTGACCACAGAACTACTAACCTTATTGCTACTCTCTTCATCGTCCTTCTCAATTGTCTCGATCACGTCATCGTCATTCGCTACTAACATACTAGACGAGGCTCCTGCAACTGCTTGGAAAACCACAGCATGTGGAGCAGAGAAACCTGAAGAGAGAATATCCGAAAGGATAATTTCAATATTACTCAGAAAGAAATCAAATAAAACACACAAAGCCTTGACAAGAGTCCCAGCAATGACTCTCGCACTTCTTTGACAGGATGGGACAATCGTGCGAAAAGCTGTGGTAGGATATCTAAAATATGAAAAAGAAATGAAATAAATATACAAAATAAATAAAACTAAATAAATGAAAATGAAATGAAAAACTACGACTGAATAAAAATTATAATAACTTGTTGGCGAACCTTTCCAAAGATGTTCGTTCGTGATTCGTAGACCCTGGTCGATCACCTCATGAAGAAAGTCAGCGTGCTTTGCTAGCAGTTTGAGAATGCGCAATGTTGCCGAAACGCTGCCAATCGTGCCCTAAACGCCTGCTACATTAGCAGAAGCAATTTCGAACGATTAAGGGTAGACCTGATATAAGTCATAACGCATTCACAAAAAACTATATCGAAGTTCTTTTTTTCCAGGCACGATCACATATGTGCTTGCTCTATCCGAATTTCGAAAGCCCATTCTTAGCAGCACCGTTTGGTTGTTCAAAACATGTGCACGGTTATTGAACTGGGTGGAAAGGGAACTGATAAGGTGGAATCACAAGCATATTACTATCAGAAGGACGAGTATTCAAAAAATTGTATTGTATTGTATGATGAAATTGTGAGGGCTACGATCCACTCACCTTATTAGCTTTCACCGCTTTTCCACCGAGTTGAGAAATGTAGGAAAAATAGGAAGAAACAGCCAGATTATAGAAGACGGATCGACGTTGCCGTATTTGAGCCCAAAGGCTCGTGAAATGACTGTCACTCGTCAGCAAACTAAAAAAATAGCTTCGAAAACAGTGGAGTTCAGTTTGAGGCTAATAGTAATGACAATGATTAACATATGGTGAAAATAAAGGAAGCCGAATTCGATAATTAGAACAAATCAAAACATTAAATATACCTTTCAGCTATGATTGGATCGTTTGGCATTGCCGCCACGACACTTTCCCTCAGATGAGCAACTGAGTTCGCCGTGTTTAGAGCTTTCCACAATCCATCCAAGGCCGAATCCGACACGTTTTCTCCGAGAAGCACCTTAATAGAGTTTATCAGTACTGTGGAAAAGAAAACTTCCCAAACACATGCATGACATTCGGAATTGGACTTTGTGAGCTAGCTAAAATGAATGCAAAGCAAAAAAAAGAAATAGAAATATGAACTAACGCGATAATTCTTATAGAACAAAAGCCTATCCTTCTCGTTGTCGGCAGTTTCAGCCGAACTGAACGCCCAGTCACCCAATTTACGATGTGCTTTACCGAGAGCAGGAGATACTTCAGTGGCAACAACCAAAGACTCTCCTACATGTCAAGCCATCACTCACGCCCAGCCGCCTCCAGTCGCATCTAGAAAGAGCGGAAATGGCATCGAAAGGGAAAGAAGACACGTATTTCATGTCGCAGTTGTATTTGAATAAATCTCACCCCAAAAACGCGACTGTCCGGCACTCAGGCGGGATTGCAGAGACCAACTGCGGACTGTCGATAAGCCAATTAGGAAAGACGAAGGCAAGTACGCGACATCTCTTCACCGAGAGCGGTAGAAGATGCTGGTGACAAAATGCCAACACTTGGCGGAGGAACACCGTATGGAACTGAAATCTAGTCAGTAAGAATCTGTTTCAAACTTGCGACTGCCGGATCTGACCGCTCAAAAACTTTATCTAGTTATAAAAATTTTCGCTAAAATCGGAAATTTGGACAGTACCTGCAATAGGACTAAATCCATTCATGAAGCCGTTCATGCCTTCAAACGGTGGTGGCACCTCCTGGAACCAATTTAACTGAGATTATGGTCGAAATTAATAAATGTTCTATTTTACCATATTCACGTTGGCAGCGAGAACTTGATACGAGTGGCACATCATCTCATAACCGCCTTGAAGTGTCGCAAATACAGTAACGAAAACTTCGGGCACGTTGTTCCGGCGAGGCAATCTCCCACATCTGGAATCAAATCTTTCCGAACAGTCAGAGCTATGTAATTCTCAAGTGATCGCTGACAATGTTAAGGCAAGTAAAATCAGATGAAAATTTCAAAAACAAGGTTACGAACTGTTAAACTCAGGGCCTAGAAAAGAGCTCAGGTAAGAGAAGTAAAGCGCCATAAAAAGCTATCCAATTACTACCTTTTTGTTCCTTGTACTGGCAACACCTTCAAGCTGTTCAGTACTGGACTGTTGTTGATAAGCACTGGATTGTTGCTGGCCTTGTGAAGATGAACACCGGCTAACATCGGATTGCCTGTCTTTCTAGCCAACTTAGCCAATGGCAAATGCAAATGGGCCGGGCTTGAGCCTGTAATGGGAGCGCTTGAAGGACGAAATAATAAATCCACAATTCAGAAACCAAAAACAAACAAGCCCAAAATCATTACATCCAAGCGTTTCGCCCTCAGTGCGCAGTTGCCTGCCTAAACGGAGTCGTTCACCAGCATCGTACGTTTCACCGTTTTCTACAAGGAACGACGCCGCTAAGTCTGATAGAACCGCCTGAAAAATATTGCCATTGGGGAATGGAAAGTAATAAAAAAAATAAAAAATAAATACCGAAATGAATACGAATAATTTACATACAACGAAAAAATTCGAAAAAGATGAAGTAATGTAACATAATTTAGAAGTATAAGAATAAATCTATATGAATGACAAAAACCATGAAGTATGGATATGTATATGAAAACAAAATGAAAAGAAAACGGGTCTATTCCAGTTAGAGGGGGGGGCAATCATGATGCAGTTTTTCCAGAAAGCTAGGGTTCCGAGGCAGGGGAGCGTAGCCAGTTTACGGTTGGGGGTTGAAGGCATCACTTGAGGGAGACGGTCAATTCAATCGTCGGCTAATGAGGTCACGCCGCTCAGGCGGCGGTCAGCGTCGCGCGCGGCAATTGGTGCGGCGATTTTTGTATGGGCCTTGGCTTAACGGTCATTGTCCATAAGAAGCTGAGTGGGGTTAGAGAATTGATAAAGACCAAAAGTTCCAAACATCAGTGAGCCACAAGAGTCACCTTAAGGTCTCTGTAGTTATTTAAGCCTCACTGTACAGAGCTTGTGCCATGTAAAGGTTGTCCTTCTTGAACATAATGAGACTTCTCTATTAATCAACTGCCTGAATTGTTATCAGAGAGCGATAATCTGGCTAAATCGGAAAAATATTACGCTCCAAGACGCAGTGGAACCATGAGGAAGGCAGTAACATTAATATGGCAGAATAAGTTTGTAAATAATGGCAAGGGACAGGGAACCTGTATTTTAAGGGAGCAGGTTATCATATACCGTGATTTCACGACTGTAAAAATCATCTAATCCTTCATTCCCCAATGCTAGAACCCTAAATACTAGCCACGGCCGACGTCGCATCGCGGGCTGCGGCGGCTGGCGCGGCGACCTAGCCAGCTCAACGATTGAATCGTCACGCACCCACTTGACATGAGTGAAAAGCTAGAATGTTGAGTTCAGCACTAGCTGCCGAGAACTGCCATCCATGCATGATGACCTACTGGAAATAGACCCGAAAAGACAACAAGACTCGTTGAGTGCAAACACCACCATATCGCTTTCAAACAACAAACCGCATTAACTTCAGAGTCGAGCTGGCCCTTTCTGCCCATCTTGCGCAGAACACATCCAGGCTATATGATTCAATGCTGCCAGTCTTCCATGCAGTCGTTGTCCTCCATCGGTCATCAGTACCAAACGTGCTGTGTTCGCGACGTTCTCGCGCATGCTCGCTACTTCAGCTCTGAAGAAATAGGGGGACCATCAGACACACCATGAACGCAATGAACGATGCTCGTTACCTCCTCAGAGTTTGGAGCAGTTTGGACTCCAGACGATGGCTTGCATCCACACGTTCCACAAAACTCCGGGCGATGGTTCAGCCGCCTCCACCTTTCCAAACATGGACAACTGTTTCAACCTGGAAGCTCTCGTTCTAATACTGTAACCCTGTAGAACAAATGAAATCCTTTTTGAAAATTGTCAAACCTCGCAAACGTCTCCGCATCCATTCCTGTCGGCGTTTGTCCTTCTAACTTCTCAGCCTCGTTCCAAAGCGAAAATTCGCTGGACAACTCAAAGCATCCAAGAAAACCGGATGACGCAAGCGCGACAGGACATCAACGCGCTAAAAACAACGAAGGCAAGTGAAACCATAGAGCTGCGTGTATGAAGGACAAAAAGAAAGACAGAAATTCCAAGACGTACAATATCTCTGAGCATTCCTCGAAAGGTTTCTGACAGAGTCTCGTCTTCAATGCACTGCCGAAGTAGAACCAGAGATCGTTCATACCTGAAGAGAAGAAATCAAGAGAATCAAGAGTTTACAGAATTGGCGTTGAGCCAATGACTTTATTATGCCCAAGCCCACTGTCACCTAACACGTAATTTGAGAGGAAACACTACAAAGAATAAACTTTGTAGTAAGGTAACATTTATGGAAGAATATCGCCTAAAGCTTCTCTTAGATAGAAATTGAACGAGGGTCCCGCAAACTATTTTTAATTCCTTCGCTTTCTGATTAACATGAGAACATCTACCCCCCAAAAACCAGATGCGTGCGTCTTGTGCAAATCACACAGCGCACAAGGACGACGATGAACCAGCTATATAAGTAACGACAAGCTTACTTGAGACTGTCGTCACCACAGTGTGTTGTCCTGCCACACGCGCGCACTTTTCGCAGCATTCTTAGTTTCCGGAAGCAGAAGTATTATCCAAACCCCATTTCTTCTGCAAAAAAAATTGGAACCTTCTACCGCCGCGGCGATGGCACAATGGCCAGCAAAACACTGTTTCAATCCATCCCTTTCTTCCAAAGCAGAGCCGACTCCCCCCCCCTCCGAACCGAAACGCATATATAAGTGGAGTCCAATAATTTCCTAATTTCAGTTTTCAGAGGTTCCGTATGAGCGATAATCAAAAGGCAACTGGAATGACCTAAACCTAACCTCGCAGCCGCGATCTCGGCTATAGCAGCTAAAAATGGCATTTCGGTGTGGTAGACGCGTCGAGTCCATGCCGATAAACCGTGAACAGCTTGCTCCACACCCAACTCAGCCATAGCTCTTGCCATCCAGCACAAAATTGCCATGGACTGGCCAGACACTGGTGGAGGTGCTTCACCTGGAATCAACTGTTATCATACTTCACAGAATTTCGGTGAGCAAAGAAAAAGAAATAACAGCGCTACTAAAAGGAAATTCGTCCAAAGAGTGTAAGACAAGATGGCTGCGTTTCCGATTAGTGAACAACCAGCAACCTTGCCCACAGATAAAATATGAAATATTTAACCATAAAACAGTCGATCAAAGCGCATACTGCAAATTACAGGCAAATTACACACCTTCAGCTAGTCCACTTTCTGCTTTCAGTTGCTTCTTTTCAAGATCAGCTAGTGCGGATGTACCGAAGCGGATAACCTTAAAATAATTATTAGGCAGAAGAGTTTTCGATTTCATAAATATGCAAGTCCACAAACTTGTGCGTAATAGCCGTTGTGATATGCGACAATCATTGCGAATGGATAGGTTCGTGACAGCCATTCTTGGCAACTGACTGAATTTGTTGTGAAAAACTGCCGCGATAACTGAAAATAAACATTTTGGTAAGTAAGAGTAAGAAGTCAGAATTTTCGTAAGTAAGAGTTCGCAAATCAGTTCATATGTCATCTATGAAAATATGCTCCAAGTAAGTGGAGCGATAAGTTGGAAAAAGACGGATTGTCCTTACTGTAGAGGAAGACTGAGTAATTGGGGAAGCAAAATGTGGCGCTTTCGCGTAGAAAAGTGCAACCCCCAGGGACGGAACTTGCCTTTACTCGTCCCTATAGACATCTTTGTGTCTTTGCCTGCCCACCGATTGCCATCATCAGCCGCGGGCCACCGCCGATGGATTACGGTCGACGACGTCGAACCGGCCCAATGCAGGAATCAACGGGGAAGACTGGGTGTTTTCGTTTGTCTCAAGCCGCTTTCCTTTTTCTTCTTCTGCACCTCCTAGCAGGTCTTATACCTTCATTACCTACGGACAACTAATTTACCGTATCATCCACCTTTAAGCTGGCGCTAAAGATGAGCATGTATGCTATACGAAGTTTTGCGACTTGCATCTAAAGTGGCCCGCGTTACACGGCAGACATTCGTAATGTCCCCACCATAAACAGAAGCAGACCTCCTTCACCCTCGTCTCATCTATGATGTCATCTACAATCACTGTCGAGGGGGCCTACCTAATTGCTTCAGCCTGAGGCTGTTACAAAATCTCTTCATTTGACTAAGTCATGGCCAGTTTCTATCCGAATATGTAAGACCTCTTCCGACCAGCGCTTCAGTCCACGATCCGTCGATCTCGTTGAGCTCGAAACCGTTCATGTTCTCGTGGTATATTCTTCTGATGTCAGTGGTTTAGGTAGGCCCACTGCTAGTTTTTGGGGCGCTGATCGCAAAGTACGGGGGCTCCTCTAGGGCTAAGTGCTAGGAGAGGGCAGGAAGCTTCGTGGAAAATGAAAGTTTAAAAATGAAAATTGCCCACGCATTCTAGTCGCTCCTTCCTCGTTTAAGGCTTAGTCCCGATTTCAACAAAAAGAAGATGAATAACGCGGTTTTGGACGCATTGCCACCCTAATGCCCTTCGTATCTTGCGCTAGTGCCGTTTTTTCTTGTTGATAGATTGGAGTGTGCTCTTCAATTTCCAGATGAGATCATTTGGATTGTGTTCAGCAAAGTGTAATCGATTTCGTTTCAAAGTGCGTTTTGTGGAGAGAGATTGACTTGTTTGCCACCTTTCCCCTGGATTCAACCCTTGTATTCAGTATTATTGGCCTTTTTGCGACGTTGAGTAGATGCGATTGTGAGGGAAACGCAGGGTCAGAAGTACGAGATGTCGGATTGTTGTCCGAGGATTAGACGTGCATAACTGATTCACGCTTGAATGCTTGCGATCCCGTCGACGAGCACGTTATGCGGTTGTTTCGCGTGCCGCGCTCTACTACCCTCAAGCACTTGACAATTGAGTCTTGATTGTCCGCTAAAAGCAATGACGTTATCGAACGGCATTACTCAACAACTTGTTACGCTCCTCGTTCGTACGTAAACGATGACGTACTTTTTAGAGCGCATGGCACCGGTTTTAGTCGAGAGATTCTTTGAGAACTCCTACTTTTACTTTACGCAACTTGTTCCCCACTCATTCTTGAGTTGGATGATGAGGAACATTAGTTTCCTCTTTCTAACGTCGACGTTTCTCACTTTAATGCTTGATTTTTCATTTGATTTTGATCCTTCATTTTCTATCACGTTGCCAGGCTCTATGATAGCTGCCACAACTTCTTCACTTTTGATTTGCTCAGTTTCATATTTATGTACTAGTTGAGTTACGCCCGATTGATTATGCGGCTTTTTCATTTCAATTTTTCACATTTCTCTTTTCCTTTTTTTATCTTTCTATTATTTTTTTCATATTTTTTCATATTTCATATTCATATCAATGATTCATTTTCAAAACAAAACGTTTGAAAAACAAATCAAAATTATGAAAAAAGGAAAGTGTTGCGATCGATAGACAACTTAATTCAGAATAGAGACCAGGGTGAAGCGAACCGTCGAGGAAAATTTGGAAATACGACCCCCCTCCCTCCTCAGAGGCCGAAGTGCATGAAACTACCCTCTTCAAAAGCCGAACTCAAAGAAATTGGAATTATAAGACCCTTACTCGTTTTCACGTACCCATTCCGCTCGGAACTGAAAACCTGCGCCCAGCCTGAAGTGGATGCCGAAGACAAGTTTGAATCACTTCTCTTTCAGTCAGGCCAACTCAAAGAAAGAAATGTATGTCTATATTTCTCCCGAATGCTCTGGAATCTTCCATGGGTGGTATATAGTAGGAGTGGACCGTGCTACGTACGGTGATCAAATCAGCTTTCCCAATAATGGCGTTTGCATGGCACTAAATCAACTTTTCCCGCCAGACACTCCGAGCGCTCATTCTGTAAGAGCTCCGCCTAGAGAGATCTGCCCACCAGAGGTGGTCAGGATCAGTCCCGGGATAGGCCTGGGCACGTTCTCTCACATGGCGGTTTCGGCTTGGTTTAAACGCTCCGCAGCGAAGACTTTGATCTTTCTGACGCAACACACGACTACTGCCCATTTTGACGTTTGACGGTATTTCCCACGGGTGATGATCTGTCTGGAGGATTGACGAGTACAAGGGCTTCACAATGCTAGCTGCTCGAAAAGATTGCAGAAGAGCTTCGCCGAATATAGCGACAAGTCAACCTGCTTCACGACAACGCGCAACGTCGCGGGTGTTCGGTCTCAAGCCACAAGACTCTGAAGCCAGGCAGGACCGCGGCTGCCCGTCTGCCATATTCGTCAAACCTATCTATACACCTCTTCAACCTTTCCTGCTCGCTTGCTCATTACCTGGAGAACAGGAAGCTCGACGACGTAAACGAGCGCAAATCCGACACCAGAAGGTTGTTTGGCAAAAATCTTCCTAATTTCTAATTTCTGCGGTGTCACCCAAATGCCCGAAGGTTGGCGTAGTGTTGTTGTATCTAATGGTCAATATGTTATGGATCATTGAATAAATAAAGAATAAAAAAAATAAATTCAAAAATTGAGCTACAAGTGTTAAGGAACTTTCCTTCCAACCTAATAAAAACAATACAAAAACCACACTGAATGTCAGTTTTGTTGGGCTGAAAGTCGCTCAGCGAGAAAAAATAATGCCCCACTTGGAAAATCGTTCCGGCGAAACACTTTTAACCGCTACTGTATATAAACCATAATAATGTCATCCCTCCTCAACCTGAAATGGAACGATTCTAAACCAAATATTCTGTTTACCCCTGAAATTGACAAATTTTCCATTGATCGGGCAGGTTCTTGCCACAATGCCATTGAAACTTTCTTTGGCCCTCTTCTAGTGTAATGTCATTGAATAAACTTCTGTACATGAATAGGAGAATTCTGGTCTATTGTAGACGTTACTTCGTATAACTTTTAGTGGAAGCAAACCAGTTGTCGATTAATGCCATTTCAGCCATCAGCGCTACTGTATAGCTAGCGAAACGTGGAGTTAGTTGCGGGCGATTTGTACCTTTACTTAGAGTTTCGTTTTCTGCATTAATTCTTCGTGACTACCGTTGTAAAAAATTAGGCTACTGAGTACGTGATTGCGGCCAGTCAACAATTTCATTAATTCCTAAAAAGGTTTGACAAATGAGGTCATCCTGATGTGTCTCGGTCGCGCATCTAACATCTTTTGAGTGTATGCGCGCGTAGAGGTCGGTGTGCAGCTGTCGTAGGTGATTATCGAGTTGCCAAATCCGGTCGCGAGCAACCGAATTGACGTTTTTCCTATGGGTACTGCTCTCGTCATTCAACGTCATTTTGCTGCCTTAATCCGGAACAAAAAGCTTGTTAGTAGGATGGAAAGGGTATTCCGCGCCAATGTTCGATTTCAAGAAATTTCTCCAGACACGTCGTCTCTCTTTTTCGACACCCCGTTGATTGACCTCGCTGAGATCGAGTGAGTAAGCGAGCGCGAACTCGTTCACTTACTCGTAACCATTCACAAACATTTGACTGAACCAGTTGGTCGTTTCAACTTGATTCCTTTACCTGGGCTATCGATTTCTTCGAGTTTTACGGTTAAACCAGGATTTATCCTAGAAGAATTGATGACATTACTTTACTCAGAGTCAGCTGATGACTTCTCCGTGGGTAGGTAGCGATATCACGCACAAATGCTAAAGAAGTCTATTTGGCTCAAAAATGGGTGGCCAAAAGTGTTAAGGCCTTGCCACTGGCAGTCCGTTGCATGCAATGGATCGGTGCATCTAAGGGGAGGGTATGCCATCTCTCTGTGTGCCTATGCTCTTCGCAGTTTGAGGCGTTCTCCGCTCTCGCCCACGTGTCTCTCAGACTGTCTGGTCTCTCCATCTCTCGTAGACGGCCAGGCCAACAGGGTCAGTCCTATCGTTGTTACTTTTTCAAAAATTTTTTACGACCCCCCTCCCCCAAGGTGGACTTTGACCCCCCCCCCTTTTCGACACCTCGACCACCATCATCGTCTCTATAGTACTTAATTCTGATACCACTCAACCACGAAAACCCCGCCCACTTTTTCCTCCAAAATTGCCGTCGAGCGGGGGTATATAGCTACTCCGAAACGGTAAATATTCTCGAAAATTTCCTATAATTTCCTCTATCTCCACCATTTCACCCCTACTTTTACCCAATTTTACCTACCAACTCACCCAGCCTACTACTCGTGAAAACTCCACTTTCACCACAAACTCACATGTAATTTCACGCGACTGAAGCGGATACGACCCCCTCCTATAAACTCAACCAGGTACGACCCCCCCGTTGTTACTAGTAACAACGTAGGGTTGACCCTGCTCCAACCAAGGAAGAGATGGTTTTTCTGCTGAGTGCGTTCGGCAACTTCTCCTCCCCTTATTATAGTGGCGGTCCTGTTTGCACCTTTTTCATCATGATGGAACGAAATAATCACACCAATTTGGTCGTGGGAAGTGGCCGCCGTCAACAGCAGGAAGCGCTGCCTCAAAAAGAGTTCTCTCTATTCAATAAACAACAATTCGTGCGTCACTGATGGGAGTACCTCGCGTGTGCCAGTTGAGTTCGGGGTTAGAAGACTTCGGTAGCACTGTCCCCCTAATTAATGCCTCTTGCAACTTGCGCATCTTGGCCTCAGGAGACGCAGCTAGGAACAGTCGCCCGGCACGGTTGAAATTTGATGGGAGATATCCACGATAAGGTCGGGGCGATCGAAGAAGTGAAGGTGTTACTGTACCTAGTGCGAAGAAAGGCGTCGCCGTAGCAGGTCTCACTGCCCGCCGCTGCTCAGGACATCCCTTGCCGTCTAACTCTGGCCACTCGAAGAGAAATAGCGTTAACGTTGATAAGGTTGACACCGATGTGAGACGCGTAACGCACAAATCAACAGGGCAAAATATGGGGTCCCGTTTGGGGTTCCGACGATTTTCTTGGGGTTTGTTCACCCTACCATCATACAGGCAAGGCAAGTGGTTCCTTACCTCTTGGTGTCGACACCCAGATGACACCGTACCGTGGGATTCTAGTGCTCTGTTCTCATCGCAATTGCCTTTAATGGATTTAAAATTACTGCCAGTATGCGGTTCGCTTCAGCGCGACGCATCCTGCAGGTTCTACAGAAGTAGTCATTCACAGGTTGACTTGAGTGATTCTTTCTCACTCTTTTTACTTCCCCGAAGAAACACTCCACTTTGTAATCCTTTTCTGCCACTGTTCAATGCGCGTCGTCGTATCCTTCGATAATAGCGGTGTGTTGCGTAATGAAATTAATTCATGGTGTACCGTCTGCGATTCTCGTCTGCAGGGGTCTGAAAGACCGTCAACTTGTTGAACAAAACACTATCAGTTAGGTGAGAGGCTGATCCCTTGGTCAGAGAGTTTGGTTATTTCGCTGGGAAAAGGTAGCAGAAGAGTCACTCTGAATCGCTGGTAAAGGAAAGGAAAATGAATCACCGGAAACGTTGAAATCAGGAGCTTCCCTACAGGGCTGTGTCACACTGAAATGATACTGAGCGCTAAGCAGAGAGGATAGTCGAGAGAGTATGTCGAGCGGGAGGACGCAGACACTTCGACGTGTTCCTTGCTTGTGAGCAAACGGGAGGCTCTAACCAGGAAGGTCTTTCAGGGCGTGACAAGCTTTTTGAAAACGGTCTTTTGCATGATATAGGGGCAGATGCGGGAACCACAGAACCATGTTCAATTTTTCCTGAACGGCCCTCTGAATACCAGAAAAGGAGGTCCCTAGTTCGATTCCTCGTGGTAACAAATTTTTGCATTTCGAGTTGACGTGCCAAAATTCGCGCAAAATGGAGTTAGAACCAACCAGAACAATCAGAACTCCATTTTGCGCGAATTTTGGAACGTCAACTCGAAATGCAAAAATTTGTCACCAAGAGGAATCGAACTAGGGACCCCTTTTCTGGTATTCAGAGGGCCGTTCAGGAAAAATTAAACATGGTTCTGTGGTCCCGCATCTGCCCCTATATCATGCAAAAGACCGTTTTCAAAAAGCTTGTCACGCCCTGAAAGACCTTCCTGGTAAGACCATGGAAGGCTTGTAACCCACTTTTTATGTGAGCGGCGACTTCAACGATACTATAAATTTTTTTGATGGGCTTATGTCTCACGCCCGCAGGATTTGGCCTTGTCTGCTTTTTTCTTGAAATGTGTCTCAAATATTAACTGGGTTCCGAGCAAAAAAAATGTTCCCATAAAAAGCGAACTACGTAAATTTACCTGACAATCAACATAATAATATGTATGAGTAGGGCGCGTCTATGAGGGGAAAATTGCCTGCTGTGAACGCGTGGAATGTTGCTTTGTTCTCCTTCGAATATATTCCTTTTTAATGCGCCCCCCAGCTTTCCTATTAATATTAAAAAATACATATAAAATCGTTCTTGGATGCTAATTTCAATCTCAGCGTATGTTGCATTTTCGCGAAAAAAGAGGATTTACGGAATTTTTCTCCTAAAATTTCCCTCATCCTTTCTTGTGTTATAATAACTTTATTTGTTTAGTAATTTTTCACTCGTAATTTTATTCTTGCTTATCTTGGATTTTTTTTACTGAAATTAGAGATACCACCATGGTCTCTGCTTAATGTAATCCTCCTTCTTGCTCCTGCATTTTTGACGCACCCTTGAGGGTAAAAAATAAATAACATAATTCCAATGATCCTTGCAGGTGTAGCCTTTGTACCGCCGGCTGGGATCAGCTGGAGATGGGCCAGTTCCGTCTGCACTCGTCTTCCTTTGGAACGGACGATTTCATGTTATTTATGAAATTTCTATTGGACAGAGTCGTTCCGTCATTTCAAAGGAATCAGTAAGTTCAAATGGTTTTTTTTCAGCTCAATTCAATAGATGGTTTTTCTTTTATCTCGAATCATTCGTTAGATTTTTTTTGTAAGTTGATGAAAGCCTTCATAAATTCAAATAATTGGATTGAAATTATAGAGAAGCAACGACGACGAGTGGCTTATGGACACCATCGAAACGCTGTACGCGGGAAGGCTGCGGGAGGATAGTGCAGTAAGAACGAGACGGAGAAGAATCTGGACGTCATGGAGGTAGCGTGGAGGAATATTATTATTTCAGTGATTAGATTCGTGTCGACGGCTACAAATGTATGGCAGGAATTCCTTATTGATAAATAATCCACTGTATAAATATATTTTTATGCTTTTTCTCAATGAGTGGTTTTCATTTAGAAATGGCGCCGAGCTTTGGCCCATGTTGCCAACTACTGTATTGAAAATCGCATGAAAACTCCACTAGGAAAGCCAATGGACACTTCAACAAACTTGGAGGTATAGAAGCATCGACAGTCATTGTTGTGCTGACGCTCAAATTAGGGTTTGTTCTTTCAGGTGAGCTGCTTCGGCTAGCAAAGGAGCGTCATCTCGGCACGCCTACTCCAAGTACCACAAAAGCTCCAAGTCAGAGTAGGGTTGGAGTGTCTTCTACAAGAGATAAAGGAACGAAGGATGATGAAGACAGTGTGGATATTACTGAACCAAGGTCAGTCTGGTTACAATATCTTTCCTTAATCTTCTTCTTCTTCTTTCTTTTTCTTTCTCTTTCTTCTTACTTTTTTTCTTCTTTCTTTCCTAATTTGTTTCCAACTTACTGGTAGCGCAGCTTGTCCGGAAAATGCGAGATGCGAGTTCGAATCCCGCCTGGGGTGAAGAGTTTCTCCTCCATAACCCACCTTCCTTGTGATAGTTAATACTTTGTGTCTCAGTCTTGGAAGCCTAAATGTATAATAGAATCGTCCAGGATCGATTTTCTTTTCGTCTTTGCATAGCTTGATCAGATGAATACTTGATAGTCGTCCAAGATTAGGTAACTTTATTAGGCTAATTTTATTCATCTTCTTCGCCCTTCGTCAGAGCCTTGATCAACGCTGCCGTGACGCGAGGGGACCACACTCGAAGTAGTTAGCTTGTGCTTTTCCGAATAGCCTAATAAAGTTGCCGTGTCTTGGACGGCTTACAAATCAGGTTTTCATTTGACCTAATGTACAATTACATAGAAATATATGGCCAAGGCTTTGTGAAGACAATTTTACGTGTGTTTTCTGGGGATATTTAGTTTTTTTTTGCGCTCCAGAGTGCTTCTATGGGAAGTGCAGCCGCGGAAACAAAGTGTGAATGGTGATACAAATAATTTATACTCGTTTAGGTCGATCACACCAGCAGAGGAGTGGTGGCGTGTGCGATGCCTTCTCGAGTTCGTTGAGGTGTGCAGTGGTTTTCTTTCAAAAATGAAATCAATTTTAGCTTAAGTCGTTCCGTTATTTCTGCTGAATTGTTTTCATTTTATAGATATTCGAGAAACTCATGTACTATGTGTGAACAACGGGACCATGTTTCCGATATGCAACGTCTCAGTTGTAAGTTTTTTCCACAATAGTTTTTTTGCGCATCGCCATCAATCAATCATTAGCCACCTGTCGGGTTGTTGATAGCTGTCAGTCACAACAAGCGGACTTTTTGGAGAATTTATTAGTAAAGACAAAAAAGGAGACAGGTTGGAGAATAAATTGGAAATTCGGGCTTGATTGTCACGTAGTTTAGTTCATTCAACAGAAGTGTTGGGTGGAAGTAGGATAAAGCATATGATTTTTCTCCCATGGACATAAAAGGATAAAAGGAATAAAGCATTTGCCGTTGATCAATCCCTTTTGGGATGCGGCACGCATTCTACTTCCATTTGTACATTCGCAGTGGCATTTGAATGCGATGTGGCCTATACAATGACTTGCGGGGGCCAGCCGATGTACAAGTCAGTGTTTTTTATCCTCCCAGACAAGTCTGGTACCAATTAACCGACCCCGGAGGGATGGAAGGCTTGGTTGGCCCGGGCGACTCACGACCCAGGATTTGATCCCCGGACCGCTCGCGTGGTAAGCGCGCCACTTGTCACTACACCACTTCCGCCCTTATGGACATAAGCTTCATAATAGCTTGAATGTGATTTTACAGCTGGTCACCTTGAAGTCGTAAGCTTGAGAGCAGAGAAGGCGAAAAATGTACATTCTGCTTCTGAAAACCAGAAGCGCGTCGAGTGCAGACCGCACACCACAAGTGACGACGACCCCCGAGTAAATCTAGTAACTAGATTCATGGTGATAGTTGATAGTTGGTAAATGATAATTGTAATTAGTGACAGCTGATAGAACAAGTGCAACCGGCTAATCATTTAGCACATTGACGAGAGTGAGACGCGGTTGCGCGTCTCAGTTTCACTCCGATTCTGGCTAGTTTTTTTCCAATTTATTTGGCTTTTGGGGGGGGCATATTCTCATTTCAGAAACTGTGTGCATGCATTATCTTATCCGAAAAACTGTGCATCAATCACCAGTAGTGGAATTATTGAAAAAGTTCTGATTGATTATGAAAAAATAAACAAAAAGGTGCCGAGGTACACGCACAAGGGGCTGTCGTCAAATGTGTTAATTGGCGGAGCTGTCGTATTTTGTGGTGTGTGGTCTGCACTTGGCGCATCTGGTCTTCGGAAGCAGAGTATAGTTGTCTAGCAACAATACATGATTATCTGACTGTTTTCACAGGGGGGGAATTTGCCTACGCAATACCATCATGGGGTGCTCACTTTGCTACATTTTGTGGGCCTGTCTTGCTTGTAAAAGTTTGCTACGTTTTTTTTTTACTGGGCGATTCCTCCACGCCAGTTGACTCACACTTTTGACAAAGCTCATCCGAAATCGGCAAAATCAAACATGCTGATTCATCGGCCCGCGAGTGCCACGATGTATTCAATTACATTGAAGATAGCGTGACGCGCATGTGCTTCACATATCCACACGTGTGAAAATCGTTTTGTTCTATTCATTTGGCGCTTTCCATATTTGCAAAACTGTCTATAATTGGATCGGAAAACAGTCTATTTTTCGACGCTAAGGGGTAATGACGATTAGAAAAAATTTCGAAGAAAGTGCAGAGGTACACGCATAGCTGGCTGTCGTCTATTTGTTGATTATGCTCACGTATGGGGGGGGGGGGGTGTAAGATTTTCAATAACTGGCATGGATCCTACTTCCCAGAAAGGAATACATTCAAACCCTGGTTCTTCAGTGTTTCTTCAGCAATTTGGATGACTTTTCCTGATCTTTTAGCAACACACTATATGCAGTCAGGCGTACTGCATGAATGCGCAAGCTCATCCAAATGCAGGAATTGAATAGGCTCACGGTAGCGTAAGATGAAGTCGCTCCGCTGCTTCTAGTTGCTTTACGGCCTCTTTTCACGTGCTTTCGCTTCGCGGCGGAGTTCTTGTTCATTGCATTGGGG